ATCCAGGGATCCCTGGGATGTGGGGCTGGGGAATCCAGGGATCCCTGGGATGTGGGGCTGGGGAATCCAGGGATCCCTGGGATGTGGGATTGGCTGATCCAGGGATCCCCGGGATGTGGGGCTGGGGAATCCAGGGATCCCTGGGATGTGGGGCTGGGGAATCCAGGGATCCCTGGGATGTGGGATTGGCCGATCCAGGGATCCCCGGGATGTGGGGCTGGGGAATCCAGGGATCCCCAGGATGTGGGATTGGCTGATCCAGGGGTCCCCGGGATGTGGGACTGGCCGATCCATGGATCCCCGGGATGTGGGATTGGCCGATCCATGGATCCCTGGGATGTGGGATTGGCCGATCCAGGGATCCCCGGGATGTGGGATTGGCCGATCCAGGGATCCCCGGGATGTGGGATTGGCCGATCCAGGCAGGAATGGGAATGCTGAGCCGTGTCCCCTCTCCCGGCAGGACAAGAACAGGAAGCTGAGGCCCCTCTATGACATTCCCTACATGTTCGAGGCCCGGGAATTCCTGCGGAAGAAGCTCATCGGGAAGAAGGTACGGAGGGAGCCGGGACAGGCCGGGGTGAGGCCGAGGGATGAGGGAGGCGATGGATGAATCCCTGCGGCTCCGTAGGGACAGCACGGAGCCTCTCCGTGGGGAATTCCGGGATACCCCCGGGATGCCCTCCCCCTTTCCCGGGAATTCTGCCTCGTTTCCCTTTGTTTTCCCGCGTTTTCCGCGGCTGGTTGGGAGCGGCCGTGGGAACGAGGGACGCGTTAACCCGGCGGAGCGCGATTTTCCGACGCTCATTAAGCGCGCTCGGATCCAATCGATTCCCGTCGTGGCCGGGGCTGCTCCGCCGCCTAATCGGATCTTTCCAGCTCGGAGCCTGCCTGGGCATTCCGGAGAAAACCGGGACACGGGAGGAGAGCGGCTGGGGAGGTGTTTTTAGTGGGAATGGGGTGTGGAGGGTCTGGGGGCGCCGTGGGGTTCGCGATGGGATTCTGCCGGCCCAGTTTGAGCCATTCCGGGGTCACTGGTGCCGGTTTTCCACCGCCCTGTGTTGGATCAGGGTCTGGAATTGGGGATCCCTGGATTCCAGGGTGTTGTGGGATTCGGGGAGCTCCTCCTGCCCTGGGTCCTGGCTCCGGGGATCCTCGGGGATCCTCGGGGATCCTCAGAGATCCTCAGGGATCCTCAGGGATCCTGTCCTTGTGCCTTGGGAGGCTCCTCACGGCCACATCCCGGTGGAGCAGGATTCCCTGGAATGTCCCACCCCAGGGCAGCTCTGTGCTTGGGGCAGATCCCTCAGATCCCCCTCCAGGCTCGATGGGATCCCAGGAGATCCCGGGAGATCCCGGGAGATCCCGGCTCCACGTGGCCGTTCCCGGCTCCCGGGGCTGGGATTCACCAGCTGAATCCTACTGGTCTTACTGGGGTGCCGCTGTTCCAGCAGGAGCCTGCAGGGCTGGGATTTGGATCTCCCGGAGCTCCTCCCGCCTGTTCCATCCATCCCAACATTCCCCAGGGAATTCCAGCTCCGGCTGCTCCGGTTCATGACAGGAGAGCCCAAAACCCACCCTGGGTTTCATCCCAGAATTCCTTTGCCAGGTTCCTCCCCGTTCCATCCTGCTGGAACGCCGGGTCAGCCTGGCTTCCCCGAGTAATTCCCAGCGGAGAAAGCAGCGATCCCGCCGCGGCTGCCACGGCTCCGTGTCCCTCGGGTCCTGCTGGGAGAGGAGCCGGGATGTGGGAATGCATTCCCTGGGAAGAGACGGAACGCCATGCGCGTCCCCCTCTCGCCCTCTCACTCCCGAGCAGCGGGAATTTTCCAGGCTGGGATTTCCGTGGCGCGCGAGGACCGGATTTGGGGATTTTGGCTCCCCCCGTGTCCTTCCCAGCCGCTGGAATTTGCCCGGGAGCCAGCGGCGGCTGCCCAGGCCGCCATGGATTTGTGGGATCGATCGGAGCGCGTCGGGAAGGAGCGGCTCCTCCGGCCATCGATCGCGCTCCGCCGGCGAGCGGCTCCGGATAATTGCACCGGGCGCGGGAGATGGATCGTGGCTCTTCCCTAATTAACTCCGGGATTAATCGCTGGGATGGAGGGCGCTGGCAAGGGAGAGCTCCGGGATGGAAATTCCCTGGGCAGGGAAGCGATGCCGCCCTGGCCTTGAGAGCTGCTCCAGGGAGAGAAAGGAGCGGATCCCTGGGGTGTCCCTGTGTCCCATCCCTGAGTCACATCCCTGTGTCCCCATCCCTGTGTCCCTGTGTGCCATCCCTGTGTCCCTGAGTCCCATCCCTGTGTCCCTGTGTCCCTGTGTCCCTGTGTCCCTGTGTCCCATCCCTGTGTCCCTGTGTGCCATCCCTGTGTCCCCATCCCTGTGTCCCTGTGTCCCATCCCTGTGTCCCTGTGTCACATCCCTGTGTCCCATCCCTGTCCCCTCCCTGTCCCATTCCTCTCGGGAATGCCGATTCCAGCCGGGAATTCCGCCCATCTCCAGAGCCCCGAGTGTTTTCCCGGTGTTTTTCCAGGGCGTTTTCCTGTGTGCTCCCCTCAGAGGCCCCGGGATGTTCCCGGGATTCCCGGGATTCTCCTTTTGGGGTTTCCGGCGCTGCCGGGGATCAGAGCCGGGATAATTCGGGATTCAAAACGGCTTTGACCCGGGAAAAGCTGGGAACTCCATCCCAGACCCGGGAAAAGCTGGGAACGCCATCCCAGCCCCGGCAGGAGGGAAGGCCGGAGGGTTTTGGGAATGTCGGGAATTTTTTCCTGGAAGTTGAGGGAGAGCTCGGCACAGCAGCGGAGCCCGGGGGGATTTTGGGAAGGCTCCAGGTGTGGGTGGAGCCGGGCTCGGGGACAGCGGGGACTCATCCCCCGGGAATGTGCGGGAGCCGGGAATGTGCGGGAGCCGGGAATGTGCGGGAGCTGATCCCGGGAATGTGCGGGAGCCGGGAATGCGCGGGAGCTGATCCCGGGAATGTGCGGGAGCCGGGAATGCGCGGGAGCTGATCCCGGGAATGTGCGGGAGCCGGGAATGCGCGGGAGCTGATCCCGGGAATGTGCGGGAGCCGGGAATGCGCGGGAGCTGATCCCGGGAATGTGCGGGAGCCGGGAATGCGCGGGAGCTGATCCCGGGAATGTGCGGGAGCCGGGAATGCGCGGGAGCTGATCCCGGGAATGTGCGGGAGCCGGGAATGCGCGGGAGCTGATCCCGGGAATGTGCGGGAGCCGGGAATGCGCGGGAGCTGATCCCGGGAATGCGCGGGAGCTGATCCCGGGAATGTGCGGGAGCTGATCCCGGGAATGCGCGGGATCCGCTCCCGGCGATGCCGGGGGGAGGATGGAGCCGGAATCCTGCAGGATCCGCTCCTGGCGGTGCCGGGGGGAGGATGGAGCTGGGATCCTGCGGGATCCGCTCCTGACGGTGCCGGGATGGAGCCGGGATCCTGCGGGATCCGCTCCTGGCGGTGCCGGGGCCGCTGGAGGCTCTCGGGAATGTCCTCGTTGCACATCCCGGCCTGTTCCCGGTTCCGGGAGCGATGCCGGGAGCACGGGGAGGGAAGCGGGGCCGGCTCCTGCTCGCCATTCCCAGGAAATCCCGCAGCAGGACGGGAGCGGGGCGGGAAGAGCTTCCCTGGATCTGTCCCGATCCCGCCGGGATCACCCCGCACATCCCTGACCCTGCCCCGATCCCGCCGGGATCACCCCGCACATCCCTGACCCTGTCCCCGGCTCTCCGGGAGCCTTCCCCGACACGGGAGGGACCGGGGGGCACCCACCCGATCCCCTTCCCACCGCCCGAGCCCCTTCCCAGCCCCTTCCCA